TTTAATCAGTACATGTAGATAATAAAAATTCCTCATAGTTGTCCTAAAGTTTATGGTATATATTGAATATTTTAATTAACCTAAATCTGCGTTCAGAGATCCCTAGAAAAAGAATGTGTGATGCAGACACCTTGTAAGAGGGTGCTCCCGATTCCTCCTTCAAACCCTGTGACATTGCTGTCATTTACATCACTGAAGTGTACACTGTGATCACCCAATGCACCTTTACTAGTATTACAGTTATCTTTCAAAACAGTTGAGAATCAGAAAAGTGAAAACTCTTACTCACCTTCCCTGACCCCTCTTCAGTGCTCTCTCTTCCTCTGTGCAGACCCAAATTTCCGACCTACCCCATCTCCCTCCTGCCTGAAGAGCTTCTCTAACCGTCGATGGCAGGACAGGTCTAAAGACCATGAACCCCTCAGCCCTGGGCCAGGAAGGTCTTTCCTTTGGCAGGGTCATTTTGCTGGATACAGAATTCTAGTTGATGGCATTTTTGTTTCAGCATTTTAAATGTTTCACTCCACTCTTTGGCACTTGGTCTGAGTTCCCAGCCACTGGTACTTCAGGTAATTCTTCCCCTCTGTTCTCCCTTCTTCCTCTTCCCGGGACTCAACTTATGTCTCTTACTCTCTTTGAAACTGCCCCACATTCTTGGATATTCTGTTCCATTTTCTTCATTCTTTATCTTTTCTGCACCTCAGTTTGGGAACTTTCTTTTCATCTTTCTTTCAGCTTACTGACTCTTTCTTCAGCCGCACCAAGTCCAGTCTGCTCGCCACAGTGGCTTCGCACTTTGGGCTTATGCCCGGTGAGGCTGCACTTTGAGCGTGAGGTGTCAGAGATGGATGGAGAAGAGGGCGATGACTCGGGAGAGTCTCCCAGGGAGAAGGGGGGTGCTGGCCAAAGACAGTGATGGGCAAACTGCACACAGGCTCCACGGGGAGTGGGCCCCGAACCTGCAGTGGCACCGCTCTCAACAGGGGCACAGCGTCAGGTAGAGGGCGTTATTTCTGTTAGAGGAGCTGTGGCCCATTGACCACACGAGCTGTGATTGACAGGACGGGGGAGGAGAAGGGGAGACAGGTGGTGGTGCTGCCCACAGCTGCACAGGGGATGCGGGCAAAGCAGCTACAGCAGCAGGACAAAGGAGCCGTGGGTTTCAGCATCATTGGCATCGTCCCATGTGGTCCAGGCTGGGAAGAGAGGTGAGAGGTCAGAAATCCACTTAACCAATAGGCAAGCGTACAGGGCTGGAGGTCAGAGCTGGGGCCTCTGGGATGAGGAATAGGGAGAGGAAAGGGGGCACGGTCACGAGCACCGTCATCTCTGAGCTGGGCTGGTAGTGGCCACACAGTCCGTGACTCATTCATGAAGCACCCGCTGGTGAACCCTTTGTACAGCCAGGCACAGCAGTGACCTGATGGCTGGTCCCTGTCCTCGTCACCTTGGCATTCCAGCAACAGGAGGCAGAGGGTGGAGCGTGCGGCAGTGGGAAGGAGGGAGCACCATGGGAAATGCGGCTGGGGTGCGGCACGCGGGGTGCGGCACGCGGGGTGCGGCACGCGGGGTGCAGACGGGCCCCACTGAGAAGGTGACCTGGGGAGGTCGGACGGCGCTCCATGCACATGTCGGGGCCAAGAGCGTGGCAGATGGGGGGCAGCAAGCCCACAGGCCGGGACAGCAGCCAGCGTGGGCGTCCAGGGGCAAAGAGCAGGCCTGTATGGCAGAAGCGTAATGAGCACGGGAAAAGGAGGGCTCGGGACGATGCCAGGGCCTGGTGCAAATGACCTGCTGGGCCGCTGTCACGGCCTTGGCATTTACTCTCAGTGAGCCCGGGGGCGGCCTGGTGGTCGGCATACATACCTCAGCATGATGCTTTTTACTTTGTCCTCGCCCGAGGACGTTTGTCACAGCTTTTAGAGAGAGGGGAAGAAGGAAAGAGTGTGAGAGAGAGAAATATCAATCAGTTGCTTCTGATACACTCTCCAACACAGGATTGAACCCGCAACCCACGCATGTGCCCTGACCAGGAACCAAACCCACAACCTCTCAGTTACAGGACAGCACTCCAACCAACCGAGCCACACCAGCCAGGGCTTAACAAGATTCCTTTAACTGTTACGGCGAGGGCAGACCTCCTGACGGGGGCTGAGGCCGATGGTGCTGGGTCCCGTGAGGCTGGGACGTGGGCTGGGGACGGCAGACAGTGCCACTGTCAGAGTGCGCAGACCCCACACGAGGGGTTTGGGTAAACGGGAGTGCACGCCCCTCGCAAACACCAACCTCTGTGCAGTCTTGGGTCGCTGGAGGGCCCTTTCTCCCTCCCTGCCACGCCACCCACTGGGCACTACTGCCTCCCACAGGCCTGGTTTGTGTCTCCAGCTGTGGTATTTTTAACCTCCGTCTTCATGCTGAGTCTGTACCTTTCCACTTCCCAAGTTGACGTTTCTTCGATGAGCAGTTACAGATGCCTCCCCACCACCACCACCACCACAGTCTCCTTCAATACCTTGACCCCTTCCAGCTCTTCCCTCCTAGCTGGGTGCTATGTCGATCCTTGTTTTTATGGTCCATTGCACCTACCAGGTGTTTCAGGTGATTATCCAGTCTTCTGGTAAAGATGTTGATATTTGCGCTATCCTTGGCGTCAATCCTCATTTATATCCTAGGAGAACATTGGAATACAAATGCCGAAAGTAGGCTAATTTCAAATCCCGTCTCATTTTACCTGGCATTAAAGTAAGTCAAATTTGAAGGATGTAAAGGATCACTTGTTCAGGAAAAAATAATAATCCTCAAACATTTCTATGGTTGCATAAAATTATTTTTTAAAATGACATTTCTTAAACATATCAAGATATAAATTTAGGTATTGGCATTCTGTGTTTATACAACCAGAAGGCGCACAGGAAAACTGATAAATTTAACGAAGACACAAAGCCCAAAGTAGTCACGTTAAGTCTGGATTTAATGCTGTGTGATGTGGAGACCAAACCATGGGCTGGGGTACCAACCGGCCCCTGACAGTGGGCCCAGCGTTTCTCATCTTGGCCGCCTCCGCCCCCGGGCTGCGCAGGCTCCCTGCTCCCCCACTTCTCCCTGCGAACCTGCCCCTCGCAGGCTGGGCAGCCGACACGGGCGCTCTGCCACGCTGGGAACCATCCCTAGAGTTCACTCTGCCGTGTTCTTTCCTCCTTCATTTTACAAAACTAAGCGGGATCACTTGCTCCCGAAGACAGCTCAGAGAGCTGACGTGAGGCTGAATTTCCACAGCAGCTTGTGGTTGAATTGCAGGCATGCAACCCAGTGACGCAGAGTATGATGTTCCTAATTGACGAGCTGGCCCTCAGAACAGCCACTCCGAAACAAACAGCTTCTCTGGAGACCCCCGGATGACAAGGCGCCATGGCCACAGGGCGAGGAGCGCAGCCCCGGGGTGTCTCCCGCGCCCAGGCTCTAGCTGTCTGTCTCCATTGTCACGGACCCGCCTGTTGCAATGCAGTCACTGTTTTTCACCAGAATATTTCCCTCGGCTGTTCATTTACTTTCTTGGCTATTGTCAGGTGATGATATCAAGTGGTCATATTCAGGAACTACTTTCTCTGAGTATGAAATAATGCCAAGGACTACATCAAATGTAACCTCAAAGAGTAAAGCTTTGTCCCAGCATTTTTCATGACCACAAACTTTCAGAATGGGCACTGGCCCCTGCGAATTCACCTCCGCAGTGTCCCGCAGAAGCAGCCACTGAGCCTGTGTGAAAACATCCAGTTCCCGGGTTAGGAGGTGCTGCGTTCCATCGTAAATCACCAACTTCTTTACATCGAGCCCAAGGCTGCTGCTGTTACTTTCTGCATGTTGCTTTTAACCCTGCCTTCTAGCGGAAAGCTCAAATCTCACCTCTATTGCAAAGGACTCCTCCACCGCCCCTGGGAGGCCCGCAGCCCCCCACCTCGGCCTGCCCTGCCCAGACCAGTGTGCCCAGTCTGTCCCCCACGGGGACATCACAAAGCCCCCTAACAGGAGTGATGGCTTTGGTGCAGTTTGCATGCAACTCAATTCCGTATCGGAAACTGCGGCAGAGTCTGCAAGCCTCAGAGAAGCAGGTTCTTCCGTCAACTTCAACTTTGTTTCCAGAGGGACTGTTACAAATGCCTGCACACCACAACTGCCTGCGGAACAATTCTGTTAAAGACAGGGCAGAGCCCATTGTGAGTGACAAGCACTGGTGTGTGTGTGTGTGTCTCTTTGTGCCACTGAAGACAGAACACACGGCGCTTGACGAGGCTGCCATTGACGGGTGAAACTTGGAGGTGACAGACACGGAGGCTGTGGTGGTCCCATGCCCAGGTCCCTCCCACTGGAGGCCCTTTCCACACCGAGATGCAGGATGTTTAGCACCCAGACAGCGCCCCCTGGAGGACCAGGCGAGGCTCTGAAACAGAGCCCATGAAGGCGGGCGTCCAGCTGCCCTGTCCTCACTCTCTTTTCTGTTCATGATTTGCATGGTGTTTTTTTTTTAACTTTTCAATTACCATTAACATTCAGTATTATTTTGTATTGGTTTCAGATGTACGGCACAGGGGTCAGACAAATGCATAATTTACAAGGTGATCCCCTGATAATTCAAGTACATTCTCAGTGCCGTTCTTGGTCCCTCTGGACGGCCCCGCCCCGGGCTGGAGGGGGAAACAGGGTGGGACAAACAGGTGCAATGAGCCTGCACTCCTCAGCTCCCCTCTCTGGCCTCACAAAGCCCTGGCTGTCGCTAGGGTCAGGTGACACGCAGCAATGACATGGTGCCCGAAGGGCAGGTCACAATGGGCAGGGGAGACAGGCCTGGCCCCCCAGCTCCCGCCCTCAGAGGTACTGCTTTTCAGGGGTTGGTTAGGGGGTTGCAGGTAGCCCTGCGTGGCGATAGTCACACCCGTTTGTCAGAACTCACCACCCCAGAGAAGGGGAGTAACACATTTGTAACTCATTTCTTTCTCCAACAGCTGGCTGCCCCAACTCCTTGATTAAAGAGCTCCATCACTTCCGGATTCTTGGAGAGGAGCAGGTGAGTGAGCTTCTCCAAGGCTGCACCGAGGGTCCGAGGGTCTGACGGGAGGAAAGACGCACAGCAAGGAGACAGCCCGAGCTCCCCTGGGGAGGCAGCGTCTGCTGACCCTCCGCACCCCAAATGGGGAAGGAGCCGCGCCGCACAGCCGTGTGCAGACACCCCCGCCCTCCCCCACCCATCAGACCCAATGGCGTTAATCGGCACGTCTCTCTGCCCGAGCGTTTCCTCTCCGACGCCCGCAGGAGTAGGTGGCACGGGCAGGTGAGCAAACATATCAGTGCTGGGAGGAGTTGTGCCTGGGGGGCCCCTGGGCACAGACAGCCCTGAAGTCCTCGGGCCAACGGCCCGCTCTCCTCACCAGGGTCCGTGCTTCCTGGGCGTCATCTACGCTGCCCTGCTGCGGGAGGACATGACCCTGGGACTTCTATACAAATGCACCCCATTGAAGGGGCGTCATTTAAATGCTGTGTGTGCTCAGTGAGACGTGTTAGCTTCTCAGTAGATGTGCTAAGTGAATGATTCGGGTGCTACATAGTATATGTGTTAGATGTATAATATCTCATGTGATTGCAAATAATACAGACACACACAACACATACTTTTGACTGCAGGAATCTCTTACTCCTTATATGGATTATAGGATTCATATTGTAATGTTAAATCTTTATATGTCGAGTTATCCCTGGAATACACCTTGTAGCGGACAGCGTGGTGGGTGACCCACCTCACACTCTCCTACTGACTTTACCCCCAAACGCAGCCTTTGCCAGCTAGGCTCAGAGGACACGCCAACGAGATGCGCCGGCTCAGATTTGTCAAGGAGGTTTTGATTCGCGTGTTTTTCTTCAGTACGTGTTTGTGGAAATGTCGGACTGCCCGGTTCCAATAAGAGATTACAGACAATATGAGGTTCATTAGAGGGGGATTAAAAACACTGGAGTCATTTTCAACAGGCTACATTTTTTTATTAACAGGCTACATTATGACTCCTTCATAATTTCACACTGCAACTTGCCACAATAGCAGGCGTAAGTGTTGCTTTAAATGCAAATGAAATCAATGATCCTTTATTGTGGGTGAGAATCAGTAACCAGCTCCCCGGTTGCACCTGTTCATGGAACAATCTGCATCCACAGCTACTTGCCCGTGACGCCCTGGGAGCTGCCCCCTGCCGGCTGCCCTGGGTGCTGCTCAGGCGGTGGGACCTTCCACTCGGACTGTGCCAGAGCTCACCGATCGCTCCCATGTGTGTTTCAGACACTGGGTGTCTGGTAGGGAGAGAAGCAGCTGTAATCATCTCCTTGGATTTGCATAAAACCCAGACCGCTTTGCATTCTTTTAGACACCTCACCCCGCCACAATCCAGTCACTGTCTCCCTGATGTGTTGTGCCCCAGGTGACGTCCTGCATCACAGCAGTAGTGGTCTCCGCTTGCCGGAAACACACACCTCCCTCCCTCCCTCCCTCCCTCCCTCCCTCCCATTCTTCCCTCTATCCTGCAGGTACTCATGCACTGGTGCCTCGCTTGGCTATGGCATAGAGGAGCAAAGAGAGAGATTTGTCGGGCCCACGTCCTGGTTGGGGAAGCCCGTGGGGTGTCCTGTGCACGCGGACTGCCCATGCACATCGCGCTGGGTGGTTAGCGTTGGGTGCAGAACAACGGAACCACCAAGCAGGATACCAAGTGCTGGGCGAGGGGTGGAGGTTCATATGCGGCGACGTGTGACAAAACACCTGAGCACCGCGGTAGCATCGGGGCTCTCCCTGGAGGCTTGAGGCCATGGACATCAATGGGTGTCTTTCTCTCCCCGGGCTTCCCGTGTGCAGGAAAGGAGCGGTGCCCCTCGGACATCCCCCAGTTTTCATAAATAGGGTTGTAATGGAAGCTGCAAATATTCAGTACTGCACTCAGATGTTTCTGACTTAGATACTATTTCTACTCCATCAATATATTGAACTCATAGCAACAGAAAGACATTGAGAGAAGTGTATGTTCACTTAAAAGTGAATTTATAGAGCCTTCACAGACACTGGTCAGTTACTCAACACTGGACAGTGGAGATGCTAACCTGCCATCTAATATCTTCAAACATGATTCCTTTCCATTCTCATTGATTTTTGAGCTATGGATTAAAAATAAATCTCTAAACACTATAAATCATTACCTTCCTATAATAAAAATACAATTAAAACTCATTGAAATGTAAAATAATACTTTTACTTTAGCTGCTTCGCCCTATCTCTGATTCGTGTGTACAGTTTACACTCATAAAGCACCTTTCATCCCCCCAACCCCTAACCAAGGCCAAGCCACTTGGCAAAAATATCATCACACTGTAGGCAGAAAAGCCGCCCCAACCGCCCGGCCGAGGCCCAAGGGAAACAAGCATGGCTCCAGTCCACAGGGCGTGGACAGCCTGCAGAAAAACGGCATTTCAGAAGTACCTGCCCTTATGCCAGCTTCCGCTACCGTACTTCAGTCACTGGAGTTTTAAGAAAAGAACCTTCATTCACTCCGCGAATATCCCGTGCACAGTGTTGTGCGGCGTTATCATGCTGGGGGTGGATAAAAGAGCAAGAGAGGATGTCGCAAGCACAGACCAAGATGCAGGCCAAGATGGGAGCCAGCGGTGACCGAGCTGCAGCCTGCTTTGGAGAAGGCCCCGAGGGCACCGCTGCCGGTGAGCGAGGACCCTGGGAGTGGAGCCAAAGAACGTTCCAGGCGGTTCAGTGGCCACCGGGTGGTGAGGTACTGGCTTTGTTCAAGCCAGTTCCCCAAACTCAGTGTGGCTGGAAGGAAGTGAGCAAAAGGGGCCACGGGGAAAGACGCAGATGACCTAGAATGCAGGCGTGGTCAAGAGTTTGGATCTGATTCCCGGTTCAGTGGGAGCTCCTTGAACTTGTAAGCAGCCAGCTGGCACGGTCCAGATTACATGTTAAGAAAGGTCATCTTGTTGCTATGCAGACACGGGCTAGAACTGGATGGTTGGCGGAGACGCTTCTGTTTGAAGAGTGTGCTCAGAGGTGGGGTTAAAGGTCTCGGCGACTGGCTGGCTGTGGGGCTGAGAAACTTCCCATTCGTTAGGGCTCACAGGAGGGTTTCTTAGTCATGGGGCAGGGGTCCTGGGGACACGGAGGAGGGGTTTAAGAGAGGAGGGAGGCTTGCATTGGGGAAGTAGAGGCCCATGGAGGGATGAGAGCCTGGGGAGAAGGGCTACAGGGGAGGCCCGAGTCTCAGAAGTGAACAATGATGTGAGCAAGGCAGATGCTCCTCGGAGGGAGGCAGGTGCACAGCCAGGCCCCCTGGCTATTGTCACCTCACCTGGCTGTTGGCACCTCAGGTGTGTCTCTTGCCATCGAGACAACTTACTCAGCCTTCACTTCATTCCCAAGTTTCCTTGGTGCCATAGGCTCATTTCATGGTCAGCTGTGAGCCTAAAGCCATCTAACAGGGTCCAGGAAATCGGTCTTTGATTGGATGGGTCATCAGGCTCCATCGGCTCATTAACGTGCAGTGGGACAAAGCCATGGCAGTGCCTCCGACCAAAGGCTTACGCAGACCTTCCAGACCATGAATCATCGGTCTTCCCTTCCGCTGGCCCCAGAGCCTCCAGGAAGCCAGCCTCACTGCCCAGGATGGGGAACAGCTACCCCAGGACAGAGAACAGCTGTCTGGAGAGTGAGCAGAAGGGGGAGACGTGAAAACAATGAGCTAGGGAAGAGGAGGCTCCAGGAGGAGGTTCCTCCCCAGGAAACTGGAGACAAAGACCGTTTCTCCCTGGGCCAGGCTGGTGGACTTGGAAACAAAGGCCCCACTCCAGGGACCAGAGTAAAGGGTGAATGGCAGCCCCGCCCCTCCCGTTCCTGCCTGCAAAGCCCTGACGTCACAGCCGTGGCATAGATCCCTGCACCCTCTCCTGGGGCCCGTCCTGCGGGGAGCTGCCGTGGCCACAGCCTGCAGAAGGGGCACGGAGGCCAGTTGGTTTAACCTCCTTTCCAGAAGGTTCCACAGCCACTGGAAATCAAGATACTTTCTGGCATCCTGGCATCTCAAAGAAAAATCATAAATTGTGGTCTCAGACACAGGCCGTTGCTCTAGTTGTACTTCAGCTGTTGGATCGGTTCCTCCTCACGTTTGATCTCAGCCTCCACAGTGGTTGTTGTCCTATGCCACTCCCGAGGCGCGGCCCTTCCTCCAGCCCACTGACCTCCTCGGTCGGTGGCAGATGTCCAGGGTGACGAAAACACCGTCAGCAGCAGAACGGAGAAGCGAACGGCGGTGCGGCTGCGCCCACGCCGGCGGCCACCAAGCCCTGGGCCAGTGGACCGGAAATGAAGAGAAGCTAGACCGAGGTTCCTGACAATCTGTGGGGGTTGTTTGCAATTTAAAAAATCTAATACGTAAAGAAAATAGGACACCTCCGCATAGCAAGTGGAGACGGGCTCATCAGAATTTCGCGTTCCTGTACAAGGTTATTTTAGAGACTTTTTAATCCCAAGAAGTGCTGTAATAAACCACTTTTCATTAGTTTCCAAAAGATGGCCGAGGAAGAGGGGGCTGCAAACGTGTTTGGTGAAGGGGAAGGAAAGGGGGGGCCGCTGTACCTGAGTGCCCCCCAAGGGACCCTCTGGGAAATCCCGCTGCAGCCCGCAAACAGCCCCCTCCCCTGCTCTCGGGGCAGTCAAAAGGCGTGCGGCGCAGCTCCGGGCTGCTGACCAGCTGTGACTCACCCCCACGGACCGTCGTCCGGTGTTCTCAGGTTTTAGTTTTATCTAATACCCTGTACTTCAGATTTCGTGCAGTGTTTAAAATTTTGACTCTTCGTTTTCCTTTCTGGCGATAGCGTGGGACTCGCACATCACGAGGAAGCCGTCTGTGCCCTCCGATGTCAGGCATGCGGAGGGGCTTCCCTGTGGTGGGATGTTTAGGCCCCGTGCCTCCCCAGCCTGACCCCGCCCTCGGGTGAGCCCCAAATTTATCAGTGCCCAGAGAGAAGGGAAGATAAGTGGCCCACACAGTACTTGAACCTGCGACCCTGGCTTCATCATAGGACAATGTCCAGCCCAGCTACAGACCACCAAATCCAGCCTCTACTGGGCTATCCTCATCCCAGCCTCACTGTTTAGGTCCTTCGACTATGAGGTTATTGAAACATCTGTGAATTTATGCTTCAAAATGAACGTTTTCTTTCTTAAGAGAACCCATGAGCACACACACAGAGGCGGAATAATTTGCTCTCCAAATAAAATGTAAACCGCAGCAAGGAGCTGAGGTTCTGCCTAGACGGATCATACTAACAAAAGCTCTATTCACTACATTCTGATGAAATACAGGAAGTATTGTTAATTTTTCCCTTAGGTGCAGAGTAGTATAAGCTTTGTTAATATTAACATTTATTTTCAAAGATTCTTGCTGATACCGTGTTGTCGGCTCTAAGTGATCTCCGCTCTCTGTCTGCGGATCATCCACATTAGGAAAGTAAATCTAGGAACTGGCGAAGTAGTTGTGAGAGCAGCTCACAGAGCCTAAGCCGGCAGGTAAGCAGCAGTGCGCACGGGCAGCAGGCTCTCACCTGGCGCAGGGACCAACAGCACAGGTGGCCGCTGGACAGGTGGCAGCTCTGGCGTTCACGAGGGAATGGATTCCAGAGAGGCCTCGTCCCAGTCGCGAATTAATCAGGTTCGTCCAGGTTAGCTCTGTTTACAAAATGCAGATGAGTGAAAGAGCCCCAGCACAGCGGACGAGCCTTTCACTTCTCCCCCCTGGGACTCATGGACGGCCCTGGTGCCCCCTCGCCTGCTTCACCCTCAGATTCCCAGCGCCCCTCTGCTCTACCTGGGGCTCACTCCCACAACTCCCCAGTGAGGAGGCAGCAGGGGTCCTTCAGAGCCCTCCCAGCTTTGTGCGGCAGGTGGTGGGAGGAAGGGAGGGAAGTGTGGGCCACCGCTTGAAGGCAGCAGAGTGCAGGCTTCGCTGACAATGGTCTCTAACTCCCTGTCTAAAGTACGCCCCGGGGCCTTCCACAGTCTGGGGCTAGTAACACTCCATTGGCTCTAGGTCACTTGCTTTTTCTTTTAGTAAATATGACCATGTTTTAAAAAAAAGTAATGCATTCAGTGCATTCAGATGTTGCATGTGCTTTTCAATCATCAAAATCACCGGGGATGTAAGTGAAAGTACCTGTCTCCCTTTAGAAGAGGAGCCGCGTGCTCAAATGCCCCGAGGGCGTCCTAAATAGACTGCGGTCCAGTGAGGCATTCGCTACAAATTCTTTAGCTAATGAAGGAAAGAGGAGTGTGCACTGACACGCTGCACCGGAACCTGAGGCCGCCCCAAGGCCATCAGCAACGTTTCTAAGGGTGACTGGACTTTGTCAGCAGGTAAACGTCTTCCTGAACAGAAGCTAGTGTCATAGCTGAAAACTTGCTTAACTAGAAAAATAGAAGAATAATCATCAAATCGGAAAACAGCCGATTACTTAGGAGCGATTTAGTTAAAGCGTTAAGGCAGTTCATGTGGGTGAAGCCATCCTGTGTCACTCTGTCACTCATCCCCTGGCCACCGGTGATTTCATCAGAACTCTTTCGTCGCCACTTAGCGGAGTTAGAGTTCATTAATTCACCCTGCAGCCCCCGCGTGCCTGCGGACGGGCTGTGGTACTCGTCCGGGAGACGCCGTACGTGACAGCAGGGGTGCCCAGAGGGTCGTGAGGTCCGGGGAACGGGCCCACTCCGGACCTCAGGCACTTCCTCGGCACGGTGGGATGCATTCTAGGCAAGATTCGGTAAATAAGGTCTCACGAAACGATCACCAACAAGAAATCTCTCGATTCTATAATCGAGACTCATCATTGGCTGCTTGCTGACACATCTTTCCCCTTCAGAACTGCGTAGCCTGTGACATTTCCCAGAGCCTTTTCCCACAGACACACATTCCCGTTGGTTTACCATGAGCGATCTTACACCCAGCATTTGCTGCTAGCTGCGTTCCACAGATTAGAACTTCTGGATAGTAAACGCCATGGGTGAATGTACCGTTAGCGTGTATACACGGGGATTCAACCAGGTCATCTTTCTTTCTCTCCTGGGGCCAGAACAACAAGCACATGGATAGTAGGGCGCAGGCTGAGCACCTCCTTCCCTGCTCCACTTGCACCCAGGACTTCTAAATTGCACCTACAACCCACAGGTTCTCCCAAACTCCCGAGTCACGTATCCAATTAGCCGCTCAACATTTTTGACTTAGCTGTGTCATAGGCTATGGAGCTGAATACGAGCACAGATTCCCTTCCCCAACTTCCAGCACGTACAACACACCACCTTCTCACGGGCTTTCCCATTTCAGTGATACTCTCTCTCCCCTTCTGTCTTCTTGGGGGAAAACCTCACACTCGTGCTTGACCCTGTATCCAGTCTGCCTACAGTTTTTGCCATTTCTGCCTTCCAAATCTATCCAGAACTCCCCCCCAAAGCCCACCTGCAGCCGTGCCTTCCTGGCGAAGCCCCCTCTTCTCCCTGAGGGAAGAGACCCTCAGGCGGGTCGCTGAAATAACCCCCCACCTGCTTCCCTGCTTGCTGCTTTCGTCCTTGTCCCCAAGGTCTCTTCTGAACCTGCCATCCATAGGGCTGTCTTTAAAAGACTCATCACATTGTGTCATTCCCCAGCCCAAAGTCTCCAGTGGCTGCCCTGTCTCAGAATAACAGCCAGAGCTCTCCAACGGCCTTCAGGGGCTTTGCCTCCCAGACCCCCATTAACCGTCTGACCCCATCTTCTGTGTATTTGCCCTCCACCCTCCTTCAGCCGCCCCACCCTCTTCACTGCGCCACAAACAAACCAAAGGCATTGTGGCCCCTGGGCCTGGGTGAGGCTGAGGCTTTGGGAAGCCCAACTCGCCAGGCGGCCATGCTGCCTGCTTCTCTGGTCTAATCTCAGACCTTCAATGCACCTCATCCATCAGACACTCCCAATTCCCTGATCCTCTCTTTAAACTGTGACCCCATCTCTCTGCTTCTTATTCTCCTTCCCACGTGTCACCACCTGAAACACCGTGCAGGTCGCTCTTTCAGCGCTGATTGTCCTAGTCTTGTGGGTGAGCACAGAGGCTTCTGTTCACTGCTGCGTCCCCAGCACCCACGGTAGTCTGGCACCAAGCGGCTTCCCACGAATGCTCCATAGACCAATTAGTAGCTGAGCACATGCATTGGACTTGATCCTAGTTTACAGGAGAATGTGATCAAGTAACATGAGGAGAACAATAACTTAGAGCTGAACCAGAAAGACCTCGACTGCGGTACTGTGGGTCGGGGTCCAGGCAGGAAACCACGGGTGGGGGCTGAGCCAGCAGCACCCAGGGAGCTGAAGTCGGGGTGACGGAAACCAGCCTTCAGACCAAGAATGATGATGAAAGGAGAATTGCGTTCTCCATCGTCAGCCTCTTCGTCATCGTGCTGACTGCGCTCAGTGGTGTCCTTGGGCTGCGGACGGTTACCATGGGGTGGGACAGCGGGACCCGTTTCCAAGACAGGTCTATAACCTGTGGAGTCCGGAGCGAGGCATGAGATGCCTGCGTGTGAGATCATCACTAACAATGCGTTGTGAGCGTCCATCACTTGGAGGATGGGCACCTTCTCTATAATCCGCACACAGCAACACTTAGATGATGTCGGTAGAGTAGTACTGAAAAAACAAACTTTGCAAAATGTATTTTCTGAGGCCAACTTGCTAGAAATACAAAGAATAAATACCTGCTTTGCCTGGTGGAGCAGGGAGACTTTGACTCCCCCTTATCTACTCCCTCCTCACTTTTTACTGAGACGGATCAACAAGAAAACCTACTCAGCACCAACAATTAGTATGTTTTGCCTAAAACATTTAGCTTATGTATCGTTATTCTAAAAAGCAATTTTGTTTTTGCAGTACAACAGGTACCAGCACTATGGCGCCGAGGAGTGCGTGCTGCGGATGGGGGGCGTGCTGTGCCCCCGCCCAGGCTGCGGGGCCGGGCTGCTGCTGGAGCCAGAGCAGAGGGACGTCACCTGCGAAGGAGGCGACGGCCTGGGCTGTGGGGTGAGTCGGTGGCACCCGGTGCCGGTCTGTGCGTGTGTGTTTGCTTCGGCAAACCCGCTGGGATGATGCGGGTGCTTCTTCATTTCGCCCCCAGACTCAGACGTGTTTGAACTGATATATAAGAAAATCGATTTAAAAATTCTTACATAGGATTTGGATTCCAGACGTGCTGGATGATCGGTGATAGATAGATTTCTTTTTTGGGAAGGAAGGAAGAGCATCTGCTTCGGTTCATTGTCATTGTGTTGAAGGCGTTGTGAGTCTCTAGACCAGCGTTTTAAACTTTTCTTCCAGTGCCCAGCTGATTCAGAGCAGAAATGTGTGATTCCTTCTAAGTGGGCCTTAAGTAGGCAAGCGTGAAGGGGAAAGAGAATTCCCCAACAGCGATGTCTTAGCAATGTTGTTTGCGTAAGTATTTCAAGAAATAAAATGGAGATCGATGCGGAAACCATGAGATGCTATTGTGTCATAAATATCACTTTAAATAGAGATGAGCAAAACTAATGGTGCCTTTTCAGGAGGCAGAATAGGAACTGTGGAAAAGGTCTGTGCTAAAAGGCACTCCAGTGTGGCTTCGCCGCCCCCCCCCCCACCCCATCTGCGGCTGCGAGCTCACAGTGAAGGGCAAGGGGTGCGCACTAAGAGGTGAAGGGCTTACTGAATTATAAATTGAGGCGACAAATGGATAATAATCCTGACATTAAATTTCATGCAGGCTGGAAAAGGAGGACAGTGTATCTGCTTATAAAATGCTATAGAATTTGGAGGGGAAACCATTTCTTTTAAAACAGCTGCTTCAATGGGGGGCTTGTCACAAAGTGAGGGATGGTAGCAAAGTGGTGGATGACGCAGGCCCCATTCAGAGCACTGCGAGTCACCTGTGCACCAGGTAGCACCCGTCGTCCTTGCAAAGGTGCCCGTCTGTCCTGCAGTGGGGCTCACAAAGCCCTGGGCTGAGCGACAGCCGAGGGAGGGGCAGCTGAAGAATACTGAGATACCGTGGACCGTGGGAGGAAATACCTCTGGGCTGGTAATCATGGTTGCATCAGCGTGAGAACTCAAGGAGCGTGAGCTCATCTTAGCCATTATGGAAATCGAGCCAGTCTCCGGCCTCAGTGGTCGTGGTTACCTGTAGAGTCTGGGCCAGGGGGGTGTGGCCTCAGCAGGCAGCCAAACCCCGGAGGCGGAAAGCTAGCGAACATCTTTCCCAAAGAGTTACGGAGTCTTCAGCGAATGGCCAAACAGTGTGCTTCTGCCTGTGCATTGCCCACTGCCCACTCTTTAGGAAGTGAACTGCCTCACTCTCTAAAGCTGGTTGTTAAGATCTTAACTTTCTCCACGCAGTGGGGAGATTTTGGGCCCACCTTCAGGTGCTCACCTGGCTGTAAAGAATTCTGAAGGTTTGACGTCTTTTTAACTGTCGAACTCCTTCATCTCCCCTTCTTCACACAACGTGACACTGAGTAAGTAACACAATATTTAAGCTCCAAATCATGAGACATTCCTTGGGAAGAGAACTCAATTGGTTTTATATCTTTGAGTTAAGAGAATTTGGGGACAAACCTTACCTAGAGGCAGGTTGCTGTCTTTAATGTGTTTCTTCGTTCTTTGGAAATTCTAGGTAATAAGTTGTATTTTATTTTGATCTGTCTGCTTTGTTGTTGTGAGAGTGTGCCTGCCGGTTCGTACATGGCTTTTCTATTGTCGAGCAGCAGCTGACCCCCAGTTTTGACCATTTCATGAATCAACGTGTGTTATCTCACAGCGTTTCCGAGGGTCCGGGATCCGTGAGCAACGAACGCAGGGGGTGGTTCTGGCTCAGAGGCCGTGCTGCGAGGGGCTTGTGGGGGAGGGGCAGTTTGCTCTGCTTATCCTTCTTACCGCTCTACTAAGCAAACCGACATGAGACTGATTAACAGGAGAAAATACTCAAATTGAATTGTGTGTGTACAGGGTTCCATACGAATACAAGTCCCGAGGATAAGTCAGGAAATTGAAGCTCTTTTGCTGCCCTGAGCAACGGAGCAAGATGAGAATAGTTTGGGGCTTCAAAGGGGAGAACGGGAATTTAGTAAATGCATGTTTGCTGGGCCGTCTTTAACCTGGGACAGAGGGGACCTCGGTCAGATGGGCCCTCCCAGTCACACCTAGTGCGTATGGAACTATGGATTTCTGTGCCGGCACAAACCCTTTCTGGGCCAGGTCTCCTATCTAAACCCTTTTCAGCATTTATGGGAAAGTCAATGGTTCCCACTGAGTCTTTGAGTCTTAAAAATAACCCACTTAAAATAATATTTCAAAGAGGCTTATTTGGAATACAAAGCCTACTACTTTCTGGTAGCAAACTGTCCACCGGAAAGACCTCAGTTTCTCCTGGCTGTTAGCAGGAGGCCACAGTTTCTCACCCTGTGGCCCTGGTCTTAGGCTGTTCGTCCCCAGGACAGCACCTGACTTACCTGCAGGAAGTTGTCCCAGAGGAGAGAGAAGCCACCCACGCCCCATCTGCTTCACTCCAGCAGGATCAAGGTCCTAGGTCCAGCCCACCCTCAGGGGGCCAGGAGTTAGGGCCCAACTTAAAGGAAAGAGTATAAAGGAATTCAGAGACATATTTCAAACAGTTCACAGTTTGAAAAGGTTGAAAAAAATAACAAGAAAGGATATTCCAAAAGATGCACTGACCCAGAAGCTGTCTCTTTCCTGCCCCCCCCTGGGCTGCCCCAACCCACACACGCTTTTCACGTCAGGTCCCACTGCTCTGGCTTCTCAACAGCAGGACATGGACCTCATCGTCCCCCCTTCTCTTCAGATGCTCAGCTTTCACGAAGGATGTTAACCCAACTAAGAAGGCTTGGGGGATTCTCTAGTAGTTAAAAAGGAGATTGGCCTGGATGCCTTTAAGTTCAAATCCTGACTCCACCAACTACTCATGATCTTAATTTTTGTACCTCTGTTTGCTCACCTCTAAATGGTACAAGACTAAAATGAATATTAAATGACATAATAGATATAAATGCTTGGAATGGCACCTGGCATGAAGTGTATATTTATTTAATCAAAAGCTTGATGTTTATCAAAAGTTCACCCAAAAGGCCTAATATTCAAGGAAAATTAAATTGGTTGCTGTTGTATACAGTTTCCGTCCAAAGGAACAGACTTCGGCATGTTGGTTGCCTTTCGCTTCTTCACAGTGGGTGCTAAGGTTTAGTATCAGTGAGTCTCTTGTCCCAGCACCCGGTGATGTCCATTGGAAAGTCAGGTCACGTGATCCCGTGCTCTGCTCCATCACGAGGCTCAGCCATTACCAGGAGAATGGTGTGTATTAGCTAATAAATGAAGGCAGGATTTCTATTTAAATAGTAGTGTAAGTCCATCTAGGAAAGGCCTGATAGACGTGATGGTTTCAGCAAATGTATTGTTATTATGAAGAATTATTTGAGATTAAGTACCACTCCCAGGATTGGTAGGAAGTGGTACTCAGTCCTCAGACAAGTCGAAGTGTTACACTCCTTTTGTGTCTTTGTATTTCTGTCCTCAGCTTTTGAATTCTGGTCTTCATTAAATTCATGTTTGGGGGGGCTCAACATTCACCAAATGAATGAATGAATCTTAATGTTAAGCAATATGAAGGCACGACCACTTTCATTTTCAACAATTCCTTATCATTCATCCAATGCTAGAATTTCTTACCTTGCCTCAACAAGAACCTCTTCAAAAAATATTTTAAAATCTACATATATTTATACAGCATACAGTGTTTTATTTGCACACATAATACATAATTTGGAATGCCAAAATATACTAAGTGCAGAGATCCACAAAAAGTCGATTAGGGACCTGCAAATACATAAAAATCTGAGTTTAGGTGCCTTATAAAAGGGTACTCAGCCAAGTAAAGAATTCTGTGCATTCTGATACATGAAATGTCTACATCTTGGTAGCAGTGAGGTTTTAGTTTTGACACAACACAGACTAGTTTTACATTGATGGATGGGATTCAGTGGAGAACCTGTTTGGGGATCGAGTAGCCAGACCTCACTATCTGCCAGCCTTTGACCGTATTTTTCCTACTACTCATGAAAACATTAATTGACTTCCTGAGGAATTCATGTTAAGCATTATTCTTTTCTCTGGCCTTATTGCTATTCATCAGAACTATCTCAGTAACTTTTATGACTCCAAAGTAAAATATTGACATGTTTAAAACTAGAAAACAGCAACAAAATATGGAATACATTATACCCCCAACTGGGGAATACAGAAAGCTATGGCCATCAAACTTTGTGAATTTTCTATAAATAAAGCATCTTTGTTTTATGTGGTAGTGTTTTGGGATATCATATGCCTGAGAGATAATTTCTTAAAATTATACTGGTAACTGGATGAAGAGTTTTCTGTTTTAAATTAGAAATCCAAGAACAAGATTTAACTACCAAAAAAAAAAAAAAAGGAAAAAATGCACATTTACATGAGAACCAAAGATTTTTTTAGAAACCGTATTCCTGGCTGTTAGTTAAGGAATAAAATAGCATTTCTTAAGGCCTTTGGTAGTCCCTCCCTGGCTGAATGAACACAGTGAGAAGCTCCAACGCACACTCACCAAGGAACCACCGGAGGCTGGTGTCGGGTCCCTCGCACGAGCCCTCCTAACCAAGTTAGTATTTTGCACTGTTTTCCTTGAAAAGGGTCTGAAAGTTTTAGAACCTAAAGTTACAAAGGCCCCATCACAACCCATGCAAGTATGGGGTACAGTCTACTGTGTGCAAAGGCATTTTTTGTTGAAAATGGTGGCTTTGAACTACTTACGACAATAGCATTAAGATAATCATTGAAAATTTTAGCTCAGTAAGAATCATTTTCAGCCCTTATAAAGGAAAGGAGTTGACGAAGACAAATAGAGATACTTGGTCTGTCACTCACAGATATAACTAATTAGTGAGTTAAAAAATCAATAGATGGGAAGCCTGTTTTTTCATTATGTGGGGCTCAGAAGTAGGAAGCAA